AAAACTCTTATCAAAAGAAGGTGCTATTGAAACTAATGACTTATTTTGGTTTAAGGACTTAAACTTCAAATATGTAAGAAGTGGCCATGGCGTTCACAACCGTAAACCACTAATTTGAAATTGGTGTATTAGTAAGTAGGATGTCCACTTGAAAGTTTTTACAAGGTTGAATCTTAAAATAGAACTGTAATAATCAGGCTATGTACTCTTGGCTGAACACCTGTAAATATTCATTAATGACACCAAAAATACAATAAAAATACTAATGTGAAAGATTTCAAGTTCATTCCTTCTTTTATTCAGAGATCAACTGCTCATCTCATGCAAAAGATTCATTCATTGATTCATGTGAATCAGTATCATACGAATCAGCGATTTTTCTCCCATCAAATTATAAAGAAGCAATGTAGGAAAGCAAGAATTCTCCTACTTTTAGTAGTCTTGCATGTCTCCATAAATAAGGATTTTTTTTTGGATTACACTTGTAAGTTGTGCTAAAACAAGGAGAGCAAAGGCTACTGCATTATACTCCGATAATTTATCATGCGCAGATTTTGTGCAAGACTGTGTCAACATAAGGACCAAGAGACTTAGGAAATCCAAAAGGCAACCTTTTTTTTCCTTTATGGTTTAACCACCTAGAATCATTGACCAAGCACACATTAGAAGTGTAGGGGTTGGCTCATATCTGTTGCCTTTTCTTTCTCAGAGAGTGAATACTAAAAGCCCAGAGTCCTGCTCTTACGGTTGTCCAAGGAGCTGTGCCAGACTGTGGATGTATCTGGGTCCCACTTTCCTCATTCTCAGACTCAGTGCAAGGTATTGACACATCTGTTGCATGCCTTCAAACTCTCACATCATCCCATTTAACTATTTTACAGCTGCATTATCCAGTTTCAAAAAGGCTGAACACCAACATCATGTTTAAGGCTGTTCTGAATTCCTGCCTTGTCTGCTGTTAATGGGGATATTAGCTTTTGGTCTGAATAATTAGCAAAATATCATGTCCTTTCTAGTTTTGCACTGAACCTCATGTGTAATTGAAACCATCAAGCTTTTCTATTATTAAAGAATAAAATGAATTTTTTTTCTGTGCTTTTCAAATATAATTTGAATTTGAAACCATTACATAAGAGACATCTTCTGCATGTTATATGGTGTGTAACTCAAGCTGTTACAGTAGCAAAGTAGCACTATTGCCTTTTTTTATTTTGCAAATAAGCTATCTTTTCCTTCTCTTACTTATAATTACTTCTAATACTTATTATAAGAAGATCCAATAAAAGAGAATCTCTTTGCAATTATGCAAACAGTAGACTAATTTTCTAATTAACAACAAAAAGTCATGATATCATAATTGCTTCATTTCCATAGCACATAAGTTATACACAAAAAGAAATCCTGATGATATAATTGCCTCACATATATTTTATAGCATCATGAATGAATTTCTCTTCCACTCTCAATTAAAAAGAAAGTTGCTCTATATAATTAGAACATATTTCCTTCTTCCTTTTTTTGTATGCATGTAATTAGAATACAGAAAATAATTCATTTTGAAAGCAGAACATAATAAAAAAACCTCTCATTGCATTCTCATTATTATTATATGCAAAAATATAAAAATATATTTCAAATTTGAAACTCTTCAAATAAAACACTCAAGTTATTAAGAAATAATTAAGAATCTAATGTAATTTTGGGCACTTCATTTTTATTACATTTTACCAGTATTTTTTTTTGACTGAAAATTTTAACAGGAAATATGAATTTGCTGTATGTGGTATTCATACACAGGAATGCACACATGTATAGATTCACATACAAAATATTAAAATACATGAAATATACAAAGTTTAACTAGCAACATGGAAAAGAGGAAAACCACATTGTTTTCTCAATAGTTTTCTCTGTATTTTTAATTTCTAAATTTTTGAAAAATAATTCTAGGACAAAAAAACTACAGTGTTTTCCATATTGTTTAATGCTTCACAGGAGAACTGTGCCTATTTCCCCAATGAGTAGGAATTGCATGTTGTATTCCCAAGGAGCCACAAATGACCTTACTTTGCTTCACATAATTTCTGAGATAGAGAAGTCCTAAAGGGCAGCTGTTTTCCTAGAGAAAGGTCTCATATGGCCAATCTGTGTGCAACACACAGCAGTGGTTATTTTACACCCTCTGCATATAATGTGTCTGGATTGAGCTTCTACATAAGACCCAATAAATGAGATAGTGCAGAATTTTCTCCCCATTTTCCTGCTAGGAGTGCATAGCTGGTGCTCCCTCGGGGCTGGCAGGATGCAGGGTGAAGCCATGGCCTCATCCTGGGCAGGTGGGACCCGAGCATCAGTGCTGGCTGCAGCCCCAGTGCTGAGAGCAGCCCCAAGTCCAGCCCCAGCCTGGAAAGGCAGCCAAGGAGCCCCTGCTCTCTCAGCTGGCCAGGGCTCTTGAGTGCTCTGCTGGGAGTGGGGAATATGAAGGTAGTGGAGGAAGGGAAGAGAGGGGACCATGTTGAGACTCTGACCTGGCAAGTTATTTTGTCCTCACCTTTGAGGCAGTATTCAGTTTTGCTTACACAGCTGAAAAGCCTTAAACAGACTCCAGCTCCGTTTTTGTTAACATAGCAGCACCAGGCTTCTCACTGGAGTTGGATTTGAGGCAGCTGGGGTAAATCCTTTGATGCACAGTATTGATGATTTTCAAGCAAAGACAACTTATACTTTCACAGGGAAGAGGAGAGAATAGAGCCTTTCTTTAGCAAGTCTGAACAACAGCCCTAAGGTGTGGCATGCTAGTTTTCAAGAAGCTGTGCTGGAACAGAATAACAGTAGTTTTTTCACTTCCAGTACAAGACACTGTGAGGTATTTGGTTAACTTTACCCCTCATGAAAAGTTCAATATAGAAACTGCAGAGATTTAAACCATTTTTTCCACCTCCATGTCAGGAGTAAGTGCTTCACTAGCTCCAAATTTCCTTTCCCCTTAATCTAGAGCTCCATTTGCATCCCAAGTGAACAAGAGAGGTGTCCAGGAAGCCCTTGGGAAGTTGCACTGAATGAGGTGAAGTTTGAGGCTTACCATATGCAGCCTTGCTTTGCTCTGTTATCACCCGCCGTGGGGTTTGTTAAGTACAAAACCAGATCCTGTGGTGAGTTGTTATTCCTTGATGTGTTTTGTAGTAGGGTGCTGGATACTAATGGACCATTAGTGTTGCAGAGTGTATGTGTATATATATATATATGTATGTATATATATACATATGTATGTATATATATATATATGTGTATATATATATATATATGTATGTATGTATGTATGTGGGGTGCATGGATGTAAGGCTGCCTGTACACTTCAGAGAGGCAGGAGATGGAGCACAGCCATTCAGACAAATGCTGAGATTGTGACTCTGAGTCAAATCCCTTTCACTTATGGGACCCCTTGGAAAAGTGTAACTCACTCCATCTTACCTCTCTTGTGGCTGCTCCTCAGTCTGTCTTGAAACATAATCAAGGAATTACACTGGGAGAAGTCTGATGTATTTGACTACAACTTTTACAATTCAGCTGCACTGGTTTTCCAGGGCTAGCTCTCAGAAGGCAGTGCCTGGGTGCGGGTCTGACAGAAGAGACCAGATCTTGTACAACATTGTCTCTATTTAGCTAAGTATGGCCAGAGTCATGACTCTGTCTTTTTACCTGAGGCATCTCAGAACTCTAAATTATTAATTTAAGGATAAACCTTTCTAGCTGAAAGTTTACAATGCTGAACTTCAGTATGGTATCTGTCTGGTCCAGAATGAGTTGGACATGTGACTTACTGGATTTTGCTTATGTGAGCAAGCTGCTCTAACTCGCTTCCAAGCAGAAATTCTTCCCATCATCTAGTGACATTTAAGCACCACTTAACTTCTCACCTGTTCAGTTGCTCCCTCAATGGCAGCAGACATTTCTGTGCTTGGCAAGTGTGTGTTAGATTAAGAATCATCACCAAACTGTCACTTCTCATTAGTTCTCTGTTTGTCTTACAAACATCCACAGCAAAAGTACTCCTCTAAAAATTTAGAAAACGATACTTTAAATGAAAATGTCCATTCCAGGAAAGGTAGCATTGAGTCAGCAATCCAACCTTCTTTCCAGCTATGGCTGTATGACATAACTCATTATCTGAGTACTTTGTTGAAACAGAAGCCAGGGACACTTGCTGTGCTGGTTAATGCAATGTGAGCCTTATCTGTGCCCTTTCTCTCAGCAGAAATCTCACCTATCTCTCTTTTATAGCTCAGTACACAGGTCAGACTATGCTTGGAAGATAAAGAACTTGGTTTGGGAAAGAAATAGGGATTTCTTTGCTTTTCCTAGATAACCATAAAACAAAAACTGATTTCGCATGGTGCGAAAACAAGCCTATCCTCTTGATAGAGAAATGAGAGTAAAACAAAGAATTCTGTCCAGAGTCACAAGGCAGTAGCAACACAGGATGTAAAATTTAGATCTCTTTTGAATTAGCAGCCAGACCATCCTTTGGAAATACTGAAAGTGTGCAGGTATTATTTCATTACCTCTACCCATGACTGACCTCCCAGCAAGAAACCTTTTGTAATCATTTCTTCCTTACAGAAGATAAGACTTTTTAAAAGACTGTCAGAACTCAGCACATCCCTTTGGATGTCCAGAGTTGCCGAGGACCCTGTTGGAGGGCTCAGAGACCCTGGCATGTTGCCTGGAACACCTGGGGATTTGATTTTGACCCTTGGAGCAAGTTACCAGCTTGTGGATGTGAAAGTCACACAGGTTTGAATAGTGCAATAACAAAATATTCCCAGAGTGAAAATGTTGATTTTAGGATTTTTGGTATGGGGTTTATGGGGACAAGATAGAGGAATCAGGGTGTGTCTAGCTCTTCTTTCTTCTTCTTGTTCTCCATTTTCTGCTGTGATGTTGGCACTTTGAGATTGGTTTAGAAGTGCACTGTCTAACATAGGTGATAGGTATTGGGAATTAAGAGTAAATATGATATATGTAGTTTGTAGTATATAAGGATGATACTGCCTCGGGGGCGGTCAGAGTGCTGGTGGCTGCCTTGCTGAGCAGATCTCAGCTGGGCAGAGAGAAAATTTTATAGATAAGAATTAATAAACAACGTGAAGACCGAAAAGTGAAGAGTCCAGACTCGTTCTTCAGTTGCGCAGGCTAAAGCAGAGACATCCTACACATTTCAGGGCAGCAAATATCAACAGCCAACCTGAGAAAAGACAATAGATATTTTAATTTTGGTTAGAAGTATGGCAGATCTGAGCAGCATGACTTTTTACCAGCAATAAGACCAATAATGAGATTTTCTACTTAATATGCTATCAATATTGGCAATAAAGAAACTTTTGTGCTACTCCCTCTCCTTCTATCTGCAGCTGAAATTGCCCCAAAGGATGGCCATGGTGCATCTTTAGCTGGACTGGAGTGCTAAAAGAATTAAATGCATGAAAATAAAACTAGAATAGGGCTTCTCAGAAATTCTGAGAGAAAAAAGGGTCAAGAAATACCCTTCTAGGTTCTCATAACATTTCTGTATTGCTCCTCAAAGGGTCATTACAGGAACAATTTCAGGAATGCCAGTTGTGCAATGCTGTTGTTGCTGTCTGTAAGGAAGCCACCATCACAAAGCCACATATTGCTGGCTACATTTTGCACTTGTAGTATTAATTACCTCCAGCCCTTTTTGACAGTTTGGTTCCTGCACTCTTCTAGTGTGTATCTACATGGGAGGAAAATAATTAAGAATGCTATAATTATGTCATTAGGTTTAAATACAATTGCCTTGGCTCAATCACTCAGTCCATGAACACCTAGCCTTCCTGCATCAATAGAGGAGATTTGTTTTAACATTTAAATCTCTGTGGCATTCTTTCAACTATTTGCACTTATCAGTAAGTGATGTTTTTGCTTCCATTTGAAAACCAGTAGCAAGGGTGAGAAATAGGGGCTTTCCTACATGAGCCAAGGAAATGTTTTACACCAGAGGAAGAGTTTATGGTCCTGCACTGATTAGTGAACAGGGATTGTTCTTGATTTGCACTGTATGCTTGAAATTCCTCTGCAGGCAAATCTTCTGTGGTTTGTGGTTTATTGAAATCCTGTCATTTAACTATGGAGTGTGAGTTTATTCTTATGTACCCAAGAAAGCCAAAGTGTTTATTGTAGTAGTACTGATTCCAGGGTGGCTGACTTTGAAGCATTACACATAGTGATTCCCTATTTGCCCTGCTGCCCCTGTAAAAGAAAATACTTTTTTCTTTTCTTCCTCCAGCACCGATTTTACCACCAAAACTAAAAATCCATGTGCACTGCTAGTTCCACATCTTCCCCTTAGGTTTTGGTCTGACAAACTTAGTATCCTTTCAGTGTTGTATCCCCCTGTCATGCATTTCAGAGAGAAGAGAAAAACTACTATCTCAGATGAAATGTGTAGGTTTGCTCAGTGCAAACCATGAGTGCTTGCCTTCCTCTCCCAAGAGAAGTTAGCCAGGTGAGATTAAATCAATGGTGGCTGAATTTTATGGTACTGGTCTTCAACATTTCTCTCCCAGTAATACACAGCACAGGGGTCTGTGTTGGGTGTTTTTAATTTTGCCCTAAAAATGTTATTCAAATAAACTACTAAAGCTGGATTGCAGTTTATGCACTTACTCTCAGGTGTGATTTTATTCCTAACCTTCTGTAGGCCTGCAGCTGATTCATTTTAACCTGCTATGGTAGGTTGACCAAGACAACAGCCAGGCACCCCCACAGCTGCTTGCTCCCAGCTTGCTCTCAGCAAGACAGGAGAGGGAATCAGAAAAGAAAAGTGAGGATTGGTCAAGACAAGGACAATTTAATAAGTGAAGTGAAGCTGTGTGTGTGAGGAAAGCAAAATAAGGAATTTATTCACTGTTTCCTGTTGGCAGGCAGATATCTAGTCTCTTCCCTCCAAAACAAGGCCTCAACATATGCAGTGATTCCTTGGAAGAACAAATACCAAGACCATGAAGATTCCCAGTACCTCCATCTTTTCCCCAAGCATTTATTGCTGACCATAATGCCATTCGGCATGGAGCATTCCTTTGGTCAGTTTAGGCCAGCTGTACTTGTTTCATCTCCTGCTAGCCTCTTGTGGACCCCCCACTTTACATCTGTAGAGGCTGAGCAGGGACAAAACCCCCTCAAAAAGTAGGAAAATCTTGATGCTGTGCAAGCAACTGCTCATAAACTGACGAGACACTGGTGTGTAATCAGCATTGTTTTAATCACAAATCCAATCGGAATGAAGAAAATTGACTTAATCAGAGCCAGAGCCATCACACCTGCCCCAATGTTCATCAAAGAACATGATTATATTCTGATGGTAGCACCTCTTACAGTTTCAAGTCAAGAGAAAAAAAATTAGGGCAATGGGATGCTAACTTTCTGAATAGTCAATAATTTCAGTGAAAAACTTGCTCTTAGATATGGTTCAAATAACTGTATAGCTATGTCCAGAGGAACCATGCTGGATATAAGCAGAATTCACATTAAAAAAGTTCTACGCCAAGAATAAAAGGCTTGGGAACTGTTCAAATATTTAGCTATAGATTGCTTCCAATTTAGTTTCTGCATGTGTTGAAGGGTTGTTCTTTTTCCATATAAAAGTCTCCCAAAGGAATTTCAATGTACCCTCTTAGCCAATTAAGTATGTGTGCTCAGGAACAGAAAAAATTGGATACTTCTGTTTCCATGAAAGTAGTAATTTAGATACACAGAAGGATTGAATCACATTGAATATTTAGGATTTCTTCTTTTTCTTGGCAAGGTTAGGAGTTATGAAAAGAAAACTATGCTGCTCAGAAGGTATGTCTAAAATACAAACAATACCAAAACTTTAAAAGAAACCATTTTTTAAAAGACATAAAAACCACAAAAAGTGTTTGATCAATAATTTGGCTGTATTTAGTTGGAGTTTTTTATGTTGGTTGATTTCATTACATTGGGATTTTTTTTAGTATCTTCCTTTTAATAGAAGTTATTTTGACACATGCTTTAAAACACTTTTTTGTGACTAGTCCAGTCTATTACAAAAGGCAGGAAGGGTTGAACAACAGTTCCTGAGCTGTGTGGAATTTCTCACATGTTCAGCTCACTCCTATGCTGTCTGTTCATCATGTAACTGATGTAATTGACCCCCAGGTCAATTTGGATCCATGTCTGCAAAATGAAATTATTTTATGTGGGCTGTTTTATCTGTGTTTCACAGCATTTGTCAGCTCCAAACCTTTCCCTTTTGTGTATTGCCATGGAGACATGAGATGCCTGAAGAGTTACCATGTCATCATGAGCTACTTCTGCACAAGCAATGCAGGGCCTTATGATTTTTGGTCATGAGGATGCTTGTGACATTGAGTTCAGAAAATACAGAAAAAAAAAAAAGGGAGTTACATGTTACTATGTTCTTGCCTAAAATAAAATCTAGTTTCTAGTAGTACACTTAAGGAGTCTAAGGGTGTGCACCTGAGATTCCGTTTACATCCTCATGTTCCCAACTGAGATGTCAGAAGGTGACATAGTTTCAGTGGTGAAGGAGAAGAATAGAAAAAACTAGGGATTTTTCTTGGCTAAAAGTAGATGTTGAACCTAAATAGTCTTTGTTCCTTTCTGAGGGAAGTATTTTGCAGAAAAGTCTCTGGCAGCCGTGGGAGAGATTGGGAGTTGTGCACAAAAATATCTGCATGCTTGCACACAAAAACACACAGAGGCACACATACATGCACAGTCACTTCAGACACCTGTCTTTCCTCAAGTCAGTAAATAAATCAAGTAACAAGACAGGCAATCAGGGCACAATTCAGATGTTTCTGCTATGAAATGAACAGAGCATTGCATAATCTGAGTTGTAAGAATTTTAGTTAACTTTTTTAAAATTTTTTCTTTTCAATGGTAGTTTAAAATTCATCTAAGACAAATTTCATTACCAATGACATGAGCTTAGTGAAATACTGTTAAGGCCAGCATAACAGATCTGCTCTTATCCTTTAAAGGCCAATTAGATAAAAAGTTGAGGGTTTTTTTTCACTGTGTCAATTCCCAAAAGAGAAAAAGAAAATGAAACTTCATTAGGCAAGTGCTAGTAACTACTAAGAATTACTGAATGGAGATATTTGTAATGGCAGTTAAGCTGAACAAAATCAAGAAATTAAATCCAGTGTGTTTCATAGGGAAGGTTCTAGTTTTACCTGTGTATCTGTGGTGGGAACAGGGGGAGCTATAAATCATCCCTTACAATTGATAAATAAATCAGAGAGTAGAGTTGCAAAGGATGTTTTTACAGACACTGGTGATATTGATCTTCAAATGAGGAAAGAGGAAAATATAAAATACATTGAAGTTTTATTTCTTACATAATCTACATCACAGGGACATATGAATCAAACACCATTCATGCTTGCACCATACGTTGAAGTTCATGAGTGTTTGAAAGGAAAATAAACATTTTTTTAGTAGTGCACATCAATACTACTTCTATCACATTGAGTAGGGGAGCTACTCACAGAAGTGTGTAGGCATAAGCTGGGAGAGTTATTCAGGCAAAGCTTTGACTTCCTCTGCAGTTCAGTCAGTAGAACTTTAGGAAAAGTTAATCCTGCACTCAGTCCACACTCTGAAAAGGTCTCTCCCTTTTCCTCTACAGACAGCTGAAGAAATGTCATGCCTCTAAAATACACTGCCATTGCTGTAACAGGTGTGTCAGCACCATAGTAAATGAGCAACAGGTACACTGATCTAACCTGAGGCCAATTCATAATCCTGTTTATTCACTTTACATAGGATCTGGGGGACTGAATAGCATAACTCAATGGAACAGATAGAATCAGGCATTCCATTTGACTGATGTTACATGCCGAAATGCTTTAAATGATCTTGTATTTCTCCCATGGAAGTAAGATAAAGTGTTTCATTGGTATTCAGGGCAGAAATGAATGCAAACTCAGCATCATGAACCTTGACTATAGAGTTTAAAATGCTTACTTAAGGAATATATAACTAATGTATCATCTACATGAAACTCATATTGTGCAGTGATTGTCATTTGAGGCACAAATGAACCTGTCAGACTTCTATGCAAGTAAGCTGTGCAACCCCTCTTATACGAAGGGCTATTCTTTGCTAATAGTGTTGGCACAGTAACAGGAGAAACTGAAAAAGGACTCATGAAGAATTGGGTTACTGGATATAGGC